CATCACTTATAACAGAAAGATGTGTCAGGTGGCTTTTTTCCCCCCCTCAACTCACCAACATCTTCCCACCCCAGCTGGCCATTGCTTCCCCCCATGGGGTCTCCGCTCAAAGATCACCTGCCAGAGGCTTCCTCTGGCACTCCCTCCCCTCCGCTCCCCACCCCTATTACCCTTGATCCCAGCACCCTGTGGCATTTTTCTGCATGGCATGAATCTCTGCCGGCAGTGACTTCGGTGGCTTGCTTCCTGATTGGGGTGTATCTCCCGACTAGAGTGTTAGAGCAGGTGCCTGTCTGTCTCGTCCACTTCTGCAGTTGGCGTTGATGAAGGTTCAGCTGTGTTCTGGGTACGCAGTCCTCCTCACAAACTCTAAGATGGTTGTTTTTATCACCCCCCCCTCCTGTTGTGAGATGTATGAATTAAGGTGCTTGAACAGAACTGAATTAAAGGAAGGGAAGAGAACTTCCAATATGGCACTTTCTCCCTGCCCACCCCAGCCTTCAGGGTGCCCAAGGTGAAGGGGCAGTTTGGCAATGCGGCTCTGCTCTGCAGCAGCCTGGAGGTGAGGCTGCGAAGGTCAGAGGTCGGAGGTGTGCAATCAAAGCTACGGGAACTAGGCATGTGAAACAGCCCCAGGCGGAGGAGCCTGCTGGCCCGGCTCCTTGTGCCTGGGCAGGAGGAGAGGTTCAGCTGAAAGTTTGGACAGTTCTTGGCTTGCAGTCTGGAGGGCCCTTTATCTCCTCTGATCTTGAAGGGCCCTTTAGAAAGTGATCCCGCCCAGCTGTCCTTCGGAGAGAGCCCACTCAGGGGCCAGCATCCTGCTGGACGGCGATAAAGAGGTTACTGTGGGAAGCACTGGGATTGCTGGGGAGGCAGTAGGAACATGAAAGATAGGTTACGCGTTCCTCAGTCCCCAGAGAATCACCACCCAGTGTTAGACTTGGCAAAAGGCCTTCTCTGAGCTGCCTTGCTTAGAAAGGATGCACCGTCTGAATACCGAATACCGGCCATGGCGATCTGGGAGCCTCTCCCACAGACCGTAGGAAAGTGACAGGACGCCGGGTGGAGGGCAGGGAGCCAGTGCTCCTGCACAGGTGGGCCAGTGCACTCCCTGTAGTGTGCTCCCCATAGGGAGATCCTGGCAGAACCTACCTGTCTCCAAGGCGACACATCCGGGCCGCTTCTGCAGGAGGGCCTGTTGTGAAACATTTAGGAATGTTTGTGTTCCTTCAGAGATTTGTAATTAAGAAGAGGCAGAACGAGTTTTTGCTTGGACCTCTTCCCTCCCTGCCTCTTGTCCCTCCAGTATTTGGGGCATTTCGATTTCATGATTGGGGTTTTCGGTAGTCCAGGACACCCTGAAGCTTAAAATGGGGTGAATTGCTTCACTGGAGGGTGGGGGCTGGGAGTTCCAGGCAAGCCCCCAAGTCTGGGCCACATCTGAAAGCGGACATCTCTTCCCAGCCCACATTCTTGGCACTTGCCCAAAGGGGAACATTGTAGGCCAGAGAAGCACCCACCATTTCCCAGAGGGGACTGGTTTAAACAGACCGTTCTCTCTGGCAGGAAGAGTGAATGTGTGCATGTGCATATATATACACGTGTGTGTGTGTGTGTGTGTATGTGTGTTTAAATCTTTGTGCAGCTAAAAACACTTCTCTTCATCCTGATTCTCTGAATGACACATTGCTGCACACTGAATAATTCATCTCCCTCTTGGCATTTGTGCCAGAGAGAATCTTGCTGTCCAGATTTCTTGTAAGTTGCAGTCTTCCAATAGAAGCTTTTCTCTTTCCCATGGAAGGGCTCTGGGAGCTAGGCTATCAGCCCTCTGGCTTTTCCTCCAGGATTGCATCAAAGGGGAACCCTGAATATCAAACCAGAGCCTGCCTTTCTCCTCGGGCCCTCTCCTTCTGACTTTGGGTCCTCTTGATTCACTCTTCTTTATCCCTGAAGGGCACAGTGTCTGTGTTCACTGCATGTGGAAGTCAACATCTCAGTGGGGTATTCTCATGGCAGTCACATTACTGAACCTTGTAGCTAACATTTATCTCACTTCTGACTTCCCTGTTTCTAAGGCCGGAACAATTAGCGGAGTTCATGGTTTTCTGGAAAATTGATGCATTTTGGTGTTTCAGACCTGCCCCCAGACCCGTCCTCACTGAGAGAGTTCAGTGAATTACTGGTATTGATGACTTGGGTGACTTTGAAACATTTGATTATCTTTTCATCAAGCAGCTGTGGATGATCCAAGTGTATCGAACATCTTTGTACCAAGACACAGATGACCAAAGGTGCAAATATGCTAAAGCTCCAGCGCCTTTTGCCTACAGACTTGCCTCTGGTCCAGAGTCGTTGCCTGTATCTCTGGCATAGCTTACTCTATGTTCCAGATTGTTCTGAGACTCACTTGGTCTTGTTAATTCTTATTAGCAAAACTCAGGTTTGGGAATCAGGTAGTGGGGTTTAGGTTATCCCTCTGGGGTTTACTAACTGTGTGATACTGAGCATGTTTTCTCATTTGTAAAATGGAGTAAGAGTGCCTGCTACCTGGAGAGAGAACATGACATATATAACTTCCTTTCTAGGCCTAGATTTAGCCATTATTAAATATTTTAATTACACTGATGTATGAACATTACAGAGAAATTGGTAAAAAAAATTATATTAAAACCCCTGTACCAAGATGACATTTTAATGTACATCTTTCTATGTACACCTTCTCTATGTGCTGCTGAAGCAAGCACCCAGTTTCTCTTCTATACACACACATACACACACACACACAGATTTGTAGGCAAAATATACAATAACAGTATCCTGTAGATTTTCTCTTTCAACAGTGTTGTTTTTCTCATAATATATTGAGAGCATCCTCCCATATTAGCAACATATAGAATAATACATCATTATTTTTCATTCCTACATACTCATTATTGCAGTCACCCATTCCACGAATATTTATTGAGCACGTGGGGGACAGAAGGATCTCTTGCTTAGATGCACCATTGGATGAAACCATTTAATTGATCCCCATGGAAGAATTTTGAAAGGTGCTGATCCAGGGGAACTGTCAGGAAAGGACATATCTTCTTGGTTTTCTGGGTTACAAACAATATATATAGTAAGATTCATATCTATGTGGGGCGCCTGGGTGGCTCAGTTGGTTAAGCATCTGCTTTGGGCTCAGATCATGATCCCAGGGTCCTGGGATCGAGCCCCGCATCGGGCTCCCTGCTCAGCGGGGAGCCTGCTTCTCCCTCTCCCCCTGCTTATGTCTCACACAGCCAGAGAGGGAACAAACAAGCAGGGTGGAGTAGGAGAGGGAGAAGGCAGACGCTTAACTGACTGAGCTACCCAGGCGCCCCTCAAATAAATCTTAAAAAAAAAAAAAAAGAATGATTTAGGTGAGGGGCACCTGGGTGGCTCAGTTGGTTAGGTGTCTGACTCTTGATTTTGGCTCAGGTCATGATCTCAGGGTCGTGTGATTGAGCCCCACGTCAGGCTCTGCACTGGGAGTGGAGCCTGTTTGAGGTTCTCTCTCTCTCTCTCCCTCCATCCCCCCACCTCTCTAAAAAAAAAAAAAAAACCGAAGCTCAGAGAGATTAAGTAAGTTGCCAAACCCACACAGCCAATGTAAGTGATGCTTACTGAATCCTTATTTGACGGAGCTGAGTGTGTTGCATATCCCAGATACCTCTGGCCTCGACCTCACCTTCTCCCACAATACAGCAGTAAATTACTAACAAGCTTTTGGATTCTCCATGTATTCAGCCAGGAGGTATTTTTCACAACCTACCTGACTTGGATATATGGTGGCACGTGAACTTGCCACATCCTGTTCACCAGGGGCTCTTTCAGTGTTTCTTTTCCCCCCAGTGTTTAGCTTTAAGTCTGACTTGGAGTGGGTATAGGAGAGGAGATTGCACAGTAGAAGAGAGAAGGTAGTTTCCTGAGGCATGGAGGGAGGGTCTTCATCAGAACTCCTAGACGCCCCCAGTCGTCTTTCTTCCTGTGCTGTTGTACCTCAGCTTGCCACTCTATCCAAAGAGCGATGAAACAGAACCTTCTGGTCTTCCAGGATTGGGAGGGGGTGGGAGCACACAGGAGACGGAGAACATCTGAATATGTATTTTAAGCAGAGTCCGCAATGGGAGAAACCAAAGGGGTTTTCTGGAGGGGTCACTCAGGCTGATTAGCTGTATATCTACGTTGGTGGCTCCCTGCACTCTGGCTAAAATGCTTGACCGGAGGCTTGTGCTCTTTTCCAGCCTTGACAGCCCTTAGTTCATTTAGTTGGATGATTTGTCTGTCTGACTTAGCCACCAAGTGGGTGATTACCACCACTGCACACCAAAATGGGGTCTTAGATGGTGGTTATTACTAAAAAGATCAGTTTGGCCTGAACTGTCTAGGGAAGGATGGTGGTGGGTGTATGCATTTGGGAACCTGCTCAGGAGGCAAATAAATACTTCTTTTGGCCAAATTCATAGGGATGGAACATCTGCTATTCTAGATGCGGCTGTAAGCCAGCTTTCAGGAGGGCAAGTGGGCATGACGAACATGAGATAGAGCCAGAATGAAGACTGGGGGTGGGGTTGGCAAGTGAGTTGCCGATGAAGAAGCCAGCAAGGGCTGGAGTCTGAGTCCAGAAGCAAGACTTGACCTTTGAACCCTCTTCTGCAAACCCCAGAGATGCAGAAACAGAGGCCCAAAGAAGGAAGATGACTTGCTCAAATCATTCCCAAATTAGTGGCAAAGTTGAGACTGGAATACAGATTCCCCACCTCCCTCGTGGGTGATCCAATCCTGCGGCTGCAGCCATGCACTCACCTTCCCCGGGACGCCAGGGGCCATGGGGACAGCAGAGCCAGGGTCAGTGCGACGTCTGTGGCTCTGCTGGGCCAGCCCAGAGGAGCAGGGAGGCTGAGAGAAGCAGTGAGCTGTAGGGCCTTGGGGACTGTGGGCTGATGGAGTCTGTTTCTCCTCTCCCTTGCCAGGTACACCAAACCGCTCACCTTTGCTGACTGCATTAGTGATGAGTTGCCACTAGGATGGGAAGAGGCGTATGACCCACAGGTTGGAGATTACTTCATAGACCACAACACCAGTAAGTTCCTGGCCAGCCTCCCTTTCCCATCCTGCACCCCATCCCTCTACCTCCACACCCCCCCACCCCGAGTCTGAAAGAGCTGCCAGCAGAGGCTCTTGAAGCCAGATTGTGTTTTGTTTTCTATAGAGTTAGATAGAGATGTCAATGTGGATATAGATAGATAATGTATGCATGTACAAAATAACCATTTAGAAGGGTTTTAAATAGAATCTAAAACTCCCCCCTCACAACCCAGCTCCCCAATTTTACAGAAGCAGTCACTGCTAATAATTCCTTGTGTATCATTCCAGAAATGTTCCAATTGTATGTTTGTGTGTATTTGCATCTATTCTTTTACTTTTTTAATATATCTCAATTTTTTGTGCATATAGAGTTTTTTTCCATGTAAGGCAGATGTGTCATTGTCATTGCCAGGCCATTTTAGAGCAGCTAGAGCCCCAGCATGTCGCTAGCAGCATGCACACGTGTGCGTCCGTAGTGGATTGGCATCAGTGTGTGTCTGCAGCCCCTCATACCGGTCAGCCCACCCTCACTTTGTGTCCATGATCCAAGTATCCTGATCTAGAGTACAGATTCCTAGTGTCTCTGTCTCTGGGACCATGATGGAGGAATAGATTGAGAAAGGGACAAGCATATTGTCTGGCAGGTGGAGAAATCCAGGTCACGGTCCCCCAGCCAGGGAGAGTTGATGTATATTTGGGCTTCATCCTTTGTATACCTTCCTGGCCAGGACTATTTCCTGTCCTCTGAAATTTGCTGCCCCATTTGTCCAAGGCCTGTCTCACTCTCAACTTCTGAAGTGTAGGATTCAGGCCGGAGGAGAATGGACAGAAATGGGTTGTGCCTGGCCAAGTCTGAAGGCTGAGAATAGGGTAGGAAACCCTAATAGCCCCTGTTTACTGAACATACACTCTGTGCCATGTGCTCAGCAAGGCACCTGATAGGCATCATCTCATTTAATCCTCCCAGCTCCCCTATGGGATGTTAGGATGATTATCCCCATCTTACAAATGGAACTTAGAAGTCGTGACTGGCTGCTTGACACTCAGAGCTAAAACGCGGTAGAGCTGGGATTTGAACTGGTGCTAGGGAGCCAGATTGTGCTTCCCAATTCATTTTCTCCTTGGGTTTTCACTAGCACCCAGCTGTGCCCCTCATCACTCAGTGGTATAACCATTTTCCTGTTGTAAAGCAGGACAGTATCTCAGTTCATTGCTCCAGTCCCAGGCCTGTGCTTGGTAAGGCACACAGTAGGTGTGCACTTGACCTTTGTTAAATAGGAAAGGGCATACGTGCATGAATTCATGACTGAATGGATGAATGAGCGGACTTCGTCGAAGAGTTTCTGAGAGACAGCTAATGGCATTAATTGCTTTGTTGGGGGTAGCAGAGGTTTTTATTAGCACTCATGATTGCATGCTGGATAATGAGAAGTAAATATGCCTAATTGAGTGTGTACGGGGAATGAGGTTAATGCTTGGAGGGCTGCACGGTATGCTGGGTTAAACACTGATGTACGGGACCCTAACCAGTCCTTTCCTTGCGTCTAATTGCTGAGTTCATCCCCCTCATTAAAATCTGATGGCAAGAGCAGGATTTTAAGGTGCTTCTGAGAGTTGCTGGAGAAATAGAAGGGAGGAAGGAGTAGCAGGCAGCGGCAGAGTTTATTCTTGAGGGGATGAGGGCAGAAATGGGGTGTATGGGCAGGTGAGTAAATGGGGGCCGCCATAGGAAGAATTCTGTCTGATAGTTTTACCAGCTGTCAGGCTACTAGGTGCCTTTTGCTTTGAAGTTGTTCTCCTTGGATGGAGGGCACCACCTCTGCTGATGGAACCAGTGATACAGGTGGTGTCAATGTGACCCTTGAGGCCCAAGCATTCAGAGCCGTGGACTTGGACCAGTGCTCCATGTGTGTATTGTTCATGGACTGAAATTACCTTCTTGAGTTATAGACCAAATACAGTTGAACAAGTTAAATCTACCATCCAGCATTCACTCATTCAGCGAATATTCACTGACCACCTCTAATGTTCTAGACACTGTTCTCACAACTTGGGATATGTGAGCGTTACAAAATGGCAATGATTCTTGCCCTTACAGAGCTTTCATGTTAGCAGAAAAGCCGAAAAATAACACAAATAAACAGATTATATGGTATATCAATCAATTGCAGTATTAGGGGAGAAAGAGAAAGCAGAGTGTGGGCTGAGGCATGCGGGGGTGAATTTGAAGGTGGTGGGAAAGGACAGTGGTCATGGTCTTCTGAAAGAAGACCTGGTTGAGAATTTGAGTTTTTGAGCTAAGACTTGAGGGAGATAAGGGGGCATTTCAGGGAGAGGGTTGACAGAGCCAGAACTCTGAGGTGTGGTCACATTTAGCTTGCGCGGGATGGTAAGGAGGCAGGTGTGCACGTGGCAGAGTGAGTGAGGAAGCCAGGAGAAGGACATCAGGCTAGAGTGTGGCAGGGCATAGATGGAGTGGCGGTCTGCCTTCAGGGCGCTAGCTTTTGCTCCATGTGAGATGAGAGCCATTGGAGAGTCTTAAGCAAATGAGTGGCACGATCTGCTTTATGTCTTGAAAGGGCCACTCTGGCTGCTTTGCTGAGAATAGACCTTAGTGGGGCAAGGACAGAAGCAGAGAATTTTGTGGGAGATGATTGCAATAGTCCGGGTGACAGAGGACAGTGCCCCAGACCAAGGCCATAGTGGTGGAGGTGGTGAAAAGTGGCCAGATGTGGATGTATTTACAAGGTAGAGCCAGCAGGATTTCCTAGTAGATTGCATATGAAGCATGAAAGAAAGAGGAAAGTATGATACTCATGGGGCCTGAGCAACTGGCAGGATGGAATGTCATCAATTGAATGAAAAACACTAGAGGAGGACTGAGTTTAGGAAGGAAAACAAGAGTTTGGGCATGTCTAGTCTTCCATGCCTGTTACACATCTAAGATGTTGCTGGTCACTTTGATAAAGGAATCTGGAGTTTGGAAAAGAGATCTGCGCTAAAGATAATTATTTGGGAGTTGTTGGCATATAAGTAGTATTTAAAGACATGAGACTAGCTGAGATCATCAGAGGAGTACATCAAAGAGAAGAGGACCAAGGAATGAGCTCTGAGGTCCTCGGCAGTAAGGGGATGCAGAGAAGAGAAAAACCAGTGGCGACTCTAAGGAGTGACCAGGAAGGAGGGAGGAAAACCAGGCTATCTTGGCAGCCATGTGAAAGAAGCACATCAAGGAGAGGATCCTGAGTCCTGTTGAATGCTTCTGATGGGTCAGGTACCAAGAAGCCTGAGATAGACCTGACTTGGGAGGACAGCTTTGGAAAAGGACTTGGGGCACGAGCCTCACTACAGTGAATTTGAAAGAAGCTGGAGAAATGGGGAGCAGCAAATATAGACAACTCTTTCCAAAATATAACCCATTTTATTATTTTGGTCCTCCCACTGACTGTTTACATCCATCATGATTAGATGGTTTTATTTTTTTTTCCTGTAGCTTCTTGAAAATATGGAAACTATACTAATAACCATTTTCCTGTCTTTGTCTATAATCTATAATGTCAATTTGGGGTCATTTATGATTGATAAATGTTTCTTGTTGTTACATTACTATGTTCCTTATTGCATGCTTGTTAATTTTGGTTGGCTAACAGCTGTTGTGGATTTCATCTTGTTTGGTGATGGATATGTTGGCATTCTTTTTTTTTAAAGATTTTATTTATTTGACAGAGAGAGCACAAGCAGAGGGAGAGAGAGGGAGAAGCAGGCTCCCTGTTGAGCAAGGAGCCCAATGTGGGACTCGATCCCAGGACCCTGAGATCATGACCTAGGCCGAAGGCAGCTGCTTAACCAACTGAGCCACCCAGGCATCCCATCATGATTAGATGGTTTTAATCAGTGATCAAGTTGTGTGTCCTACTGTTTTCTCTTCATAGTATGAGTATTTGAGAGATGCCACATAGTCTTCATATTTGTCATTTTTTAGAAAGATCCATTTATTTCTTTATTTGAGAGAGAGAGAGAGCACATGCACACGAGTGGGGGGAGGGGCAGGGAGAGGGGGAGAGAGAATCCTCAAGCAGACTCCTTGCTGAACATGGAGTCCGAGATGGGGCTCAGTCCCACAACCCTGAGATCATGACCTTAGCTGAAACCAAGAGTTGGATACTCAGTAGACTACCCATGTGCCCCCATATTTGTCATTTTTAATGCATCAAACAGATGTAGTGATACATGTTAACACATTAAACAAATGCACTGTAATTGCCCTCATTGCTGACCTTTTGTGTTATTCCATATATTTGTTATAAATAAATAAATAACACCAGAGGGAGACTCCTTATTCATATTGCTTCTCTCCTTTGTGATAATTTCCTTTATATTTCCAAAAATAGGATCACTAAGTGAAAGGTTATGAACATTTTTGAGACTTCCAGTCCATATTCCTAGATTGATAAGTATTTCCAGAAAATTGTAGCAATCTGTATTGCCACAGGCAGCAAGGGCAGTGTTTTCCTCATACCTTGATCATGGGGCTGTTTTCACTTCTTTATTTTTTGATAAATTCATCATAGGTTGAAACTGTTACTTCACTGCTTTTCATTTGCATAGTAACATGGTTGGGCATTCTCCGGATGTTCAGCTGTTTTTAAGACAATTGTTGTTAAAGCCCTTGGAGAATACAATAGTGTTAGCCACGTGGGTGGGTGTGTGGTGGGTAGAGGTGGGGTGTGGAGAATGTGTGTGGAATGGATTTGTAGTTTGAGGTTTGGAGCATGAGGGAGGGTAGAGAAGGGGTTCTCAGTCATGGTTTCACTCACTCAGCTAAATGTTTGTTGGCAGTAGCTGCCTTTTGGGGAGGGGGACATGAGAAAAGGATGGGGAAGGATGTTTCATGTAGCTGTGTTTGTACCCTGCTGATCAAGCTGTGTCCATGTATAGCTTTAATAAAAAGGAAAACTAACAATTAGCTGGACAAGGTGATGTTGAAGATCTTGC